TTTTTTTTTTTTTTTTTTGTTAGCTGTAAAAGGTGACAAAATGTGATATGAATTAAACCACCACCAGTACATCTTGAGAATCACAAACGAGCCTCTCCGAAAAGTTTGGGGACTCGGGACAGGGCCCGCCTGGGGACGGGCAGGACTTGTTTTTTGCTTACTGCCGCACGTGGTCCCACCCCAAGGCACGGGACCGGACCACTTTTTTCTTTTTTTGACTCGCCCTTTGCAGGCCCTGGCCCTTGGCCCCCGAGCCTCCGAAATTCTAGGAGGGGCTCCATCGCGATTCTCAACTTGGGTGGGGCCATGTACTGGTGGTGTGGCTTGAGGAAAATTAGGAGTCCGAGGGCCAATCTCTCCTCCATTAGAAGAAGCGACATGGTTTCTGTTGATCTGATCAGCTGATAGATGGATGGGTGGATGGATGTGGTCCTTTCCGATGACTTGTCCCACCAGGTCGACAAGGTTCCGGCTGTGCGTGTAAGCAACTGGGAAGCCATCCCATTATCTGATGCCCAAGTCAAGTATGCAGCAACCGACGCCTTTGTATCTCTCGCCTTGTATCAGGTAATTTAAACCATTCCTTTTGAAATTTGAATCCTTTCGTTTTTTTCCAATCTAATAATCAACGGAATGGCCGTACGGTCCTGACATTATAAAAGCGTTCCCAGAAGTGTTTCGTGTTTCTCCCCACGAAGAAAATGAATGCCCTGCCTAGTAGAGAATCAATGGTGCAGAATCAATGGTGGAGAAGCAATGGTGGAGAACCAATGGTGGAGAACCAATGGTGGAGAATCAATGGTGGAGAATCCCATGATCATTGATCAGGGCATTGGTGTTCTTCATGGAGAATCAAATTGAATGGTTGGAGAATCGCTAGAGATTCTGTACTGAGCAATGATGTGGAGAACCAATGGCGGAGAATCGACAACCTTTTTTTTTTTTTTTCCTTTTAATTTGGACAGGGCCCGCTAGAGGGAGTGGTATGAGCAGCTCCTTCTAATCTTTTACTGATTTGAAATGTGTAAGAGGAGGAATTAAAAGAAAAGAAAGAACAAACGGAAATGGCCTGGACAGAATCAATGGTGGAGAATGAATGATATGATAGTGATAGTAATAACTTATAAGTATACGATTATTCTTACTTGTCCGTTGTAAAGGGAATTGTTTGCAGAGAGGGAGGGAGGGATGTGTGCAATGTGCGCATAGTTGATTGCAAGGTCCAATGAGGAGAGGTACATATTTGATCGCAAGGACCAGTGAGTGGTTGTGGAGATGGATTGCGACTTGGTGGCTGCAGAAGCAGCATAGTATATATAATACACCCATCACCGCCTTTCTTCCCCGCCCCTCCCCCCCCTCTTCCCCCCACCTTTCCCCTCCCCCGTCTCATCCCGATCATTGCTGCCCTCCAGGGCCTCAACGTTCCTACCTTCCTCTTCGTGCTGATGACAATAGGCCTTTGCCCTCCCTCTCCCTTGTCCTGCTCTCTCTCTCTCTCTCTCTCTCTCTCTCTCTCTCTCTCTCTCTCTCTCTCTCTCTCTCCGTGTCTGTATGTGTCCTCCCCTAATGACAATGTGGTAGTTTTGATCATTGACTCGTCTGGTTCATATACTGTCATCTCAATGAGCATCATCACTGTCAATTCAGAGTGTGTGTGTGTGTGTGTGTGTGTGTGAGAGAGAGAGAGAGAGAGAGAGAGAGAGTACCCCCTGTGCCCACCTCATGTATCATGTCGCAGCCACCTCATGGTGCCATAGTTGGTTGAGAGAGAGTATCTGGACATTTCTGTTTGCTTTGAATGTGCCATAGTTGGTTGACGCTTCATCCGACTCTTGGTGTTTCCGGAGATGCACGAGTACGGACGTCGGAGGACGGAACCGGTTGGAGCGCCATGCCCACAGGGGACGATCATGTCCTTCGGGATATCCGTTGAAATCGGAACGAATATGAGAAAGAAGGACGATGTCTGTTGTTTGGATTGTATTGCATGCAGTTTTTAAAACTTTGTATGCTTAAGAGTTGTATAAATTTGCTTTCTCTTACTCTTCTTCTCTTAACACCTGCAGACTGTGCAAGTTGCTTCTCACCTTTTTTTTTTTTTTTACTTCTTCCATGTCACCTTGTCCTCCCATCAAACTGAATGGTTCGGATCGTCTTCGTTTGTGTTTCTTCCGTGAAACAGATTCTTCAATCCCTTCCCGATCTGCCATCACCCTCTACGTCGTCACGGCCATCTCCATCTCCTTCTTCGCCCTCGTCGAGGCCACGCGGGTCAAACGGAAGAGTCGCGGAGCCGGAGGCGGAAGCAGTGCCGAATGCCGAACGACAGACACCAGCAAATCGTACTTCACAACCTTTGCCTTTGCGTCCCAGGAACACGAGAGACTCGTCAGAGTGCTCGCACATCGGGGAATTGGGAAGCGGCCCAAGTTCTGCGACAGAAGGGAAATCTGCTGCCACGGAGGAGTTGTGGTTCGACCAACTGGTTGAGGTATCCTACCTTCCACACTCCAAACGAGAGACACATAGATTGCATTACGAACAGGGGATGGGGATCGAAGAGATCGCAAAGGAGCGGGGGATTAAGCAGACGACTGTGGAAAGCTATCTGGCCGACGCAATTGTTTCTGGCTATCCGTTTGCAAGGCACAGATTAGGTATCGATGACAGGGCAAGGAAAGCGGCGGAGATGGCCCTGCGTGCTGAGCTGGGGATAGAAGAAGTGAGCGATGGCGCTGGAAGCAGCGACAATGGATCATCATGTCAGAATTCTAACACTCATAGCCATGCCACTAGCAGAGCCGGTAGCAGCACCAACGTTCGACGGCAGTGGGAATTGCCTGGTGTCGATGAGAATGTTATTACCCCAAGAGAAAGGGAAAAGAAAGGATACTCTGCCGCCGCCGCTGCATCTGCCTCAGCAGCAGCAGCAGCAGCAGCAACAACTGCAGCAGTTGTCACTGCTGGAGGTCTTCCTGCTGGAACCGTTACTCCAGGAGCAGTTCTGAATGTGGTGGTTGGGTCATTCATTGCGAGGAGCAATATGCACAGGGGAGGGCATTTGTGTGGAGATGATGGCAGTGGCATTGATAATGCCCCACAATCAGATCCTGATCCTGGTGCTGATCCTGGTCATAATGGAGTTAAACGCCGAGGTGCATCAGTGGTGCGGGCCAATGAACAGCCGGTACCGGTGGAGATGCCACAGATACGATATGGTGCGGTCCTGGAGAGGCTTCCTGATGGTCATAATGTAACATATTCCCAGGTAAGGATTGTAGCAGCGTGCATGGCACGGAAGGGGGAGTTATCAAAGCGCAGGATTGACTAGTAGTAGTAGTAGTAGTAGTAGTAGTAGTAATAGTAGCAGTAGTAAAGGATTATGAACTTATATAAAGCTGAATGATTTATTCTGTCGATTGTCTGATTAAGAATGAATTACTGAAGCAGATTGTAACTGGCTCCAAAGGAGCCGAAGGACACCCCTTTTTTTTTCCTCGTTTTGAAAAATTTTAAAGTTGTTTTGCTCTTTGCTCTTTCTTTTCGTCTTTTTTTTTTTTTTAATACACCTGAGAAACTTCTCTCCTGAGGCATCCCATGCGGCTATGATGTCTTTCCCTCTTCAGCTGGCGTACTTATATCGTACACTGCTCTATCTGTCTATCTATCTGTCTGTCTGTCTGTCTCTGTCTCTGTCTGTCTCTCTTGGCGTTCCATGTGGCTACAATGTTTGTCCGATTTTTCCCACCTTTGCCATTTCTCTCTCTCTCTCTCTCTCTCTCTCTCTCTCTCTCTCTCTC